CCTTAAGAGTTAAGCTTAGCGCGTCGCGGTGCTGAGAGCTGTCGGATTCGTCGCTCCTTCAGCACCGATGCCCCGCTAAAAAGTCCCTGGCCAGAACAGCCCGGGGCACTGTGCCAGCGGGGTGCTAGCTTCACCGCCCCCGTATCTGCGTGGCAGAATCCAGGAAATTTTTATTTTTTCGTTCTTGCGATAGGTACTCGATCGCTGGTGCCACCGGTTTGTCTACACTCAACAGCATCTCCAACCAATCACAAATATGGCCCCCGAGTTGAGGAAGAGAACCAGATGTGAGTTATGATCTCTCCGCGACCTCAAACTTCAAACTCTTACATTAGTACAGCGGTCACCGCGGCCGAGAACGCGCCCGCGGCCAAGAAGGCCACCAAGGCCGAGAAGGTCGAGAAGACCGAACCTGCGCCCAAGAAGGCCAAGGCTGAGAAGGTCAAGGCCGAGAAGGTCGAGAAGGTCGAGAAGGTCGAGAAGAAGGCTACTCCCAAGCGCAAAGGTATGGAACATCGTCGGTATTCTTCCGCGCATTGGCTAACAACCACTTCTCCAGCTCCCGAGGAGGCCTCGCCCGTCGCCGCGAAGAAGCAGAAGCCCGCGAAGGCCACCCCCAAGACCACCCCGAAATCCAAGAAGGCTGCTGCCAAGCCCGAGCCCGCTGAAGAGCCTGCGCCCGAGCCCGAGACCACCGAGGTCGTCGAGGAGGAGGCCGAGACTTCTGTTATTCCTGTTGAGGATGGCGGCGACTCTGATGAGATCGATGCCGACATCCAGGCACTCGCGGCTGGGTTGGACCCGGAGGACGCGCCCGAGGCTGACGGAACCCTCTTCAAGGAAGGCCAGGATGTGGGAACGATCCCCAAGATCAGCAAAAAGCAGAAGAAGTCCATTGGAGGATCAAGCGAGGAGCCCGGCGTGGTTTTCATCTCGAGACTGCCCCATGGTTTCTACGAGCACGAGTTGAAGGGCTACTTCTCTCAGTTTGGCAAGATCAACAGGCTGAGACTCGCTCGCAACAAGAAGACGGGCGCAAGCAAGCACTGGGCTTTCATTGAGTTCGCCGAGGAGAGCACCGCCCAAATTGTCGCGAAGACCATGGACAGCTACCTCTTGTTCGGCCACATCCTCAAGGTTAAGACCGTCCCCAAGGAGTCGCTGCACGAGAACCTGTGGAAGGGTGCCAACAAGCGCTTCAAGAAGATCCCATGGAACAAGATGGCTGCCAACGAGGTCGCGAAGAAGAGGACGGAGTCGACTTGGGCCCAGAAGGTCTCTAGGGAGGAGAAGAAGCGCGAGGAGCGTGCTAAGAAGCTCAAGGCGATCGGATACGAATTCGACACCCCCGACCTGAAGAAGGCCGTCGCGCCGCCGCCTGAGCCTATGGCTATCGACGCTCCCGAGGAGCCCAAGGCCATTGAGGCAGCACCGGCTGAGGAGAAGCCTGCTGAGGAGGAGGCTGCCCCTGCGGCGGAGGAAGAGGCAGCGGAGACGCCCAAGACCAAGGCAAAGGCGAAGAAGGGCGGCAGGAGAAAGTCCAAGAACTAAACTCCTTCCTGATGTCCCGCGTCACGAGTGTTGTTTGAAAAGTTGTTCTGCATATTTCTACTGCATTTAATGCTTGGGGAGTCCATCAAAAAAGGGTAATCACTGGGATGTGTACGCGCATAGCGAACCCGTCGCACCCATTCAAATTGGGGCAAGCGCCGGGATTATAAAAGGCGAATCTACTCTGCTTCAGCGTCAAAAAAGACCAAGTCATTGATTAAATGGGCTCGATCAAAAATTATGTCAGCGAAGGGTAAAATATGTGAAGAAGAGAAGAAGAAATGGAAAATTTCGTCACGAAGCAGAGCCTCTTGAAGGTCTTGCAGCTGATAAGATAACGCTGAGTCAGCAACCGCAATGGGTCCATCGACGCAGCTGTCGGCGCGCCGACCTGTTTGTGGTCGGTCGCCAGTCACCGATGCACCTCGTAAAGCAGGGTCGTATCTCTCAGTCATCTGCGCCATGCATTTCGTAATTGCTTGTATTATCTCATGTGACCAAGTACGGGAATTTAACTGAAGAACAATATTGGTTACCTCATTTGCAGAGAGCCATTTAAAGTCAATGTCAGACTGCGAGACCAAGGTGTGATTCGTGTTAGTCAGTTGACCAATTGTCGAGGCCGTCGTTTCATCTATCGATCCTGTGCTGATACATGCCAGGACACTGTATAAGTTACAAGTCAACTTAGATTCCTTGAAGGGAAAAGCAATCGAACCTACTGATTCACAAAGAAATTGAAGACCCTATCGAGCGAAGCACGTTTCAATTGAGACTTGAGAAAAAGACCGTTAGTACTCAGCAAACGGTTGGCGCTAGACGCGCTGTCCTTAGCTAATACTTATCGTTATCGGTGCTTTAAGTGGAGCTTTCCGACCAGTGTGGGGGACCGGGGGGCAGTACCTTCCGCGTGTGAAGTGAACACGCTCGCTAATTTGCGAACCTAGCTTACGTGGTGTAAGTACATACCAACCCGCCCGATGCCAAACTAGACATCTTGCAACCTCCCGACGAACCTCGAAAAAATAGCCCATTCCACCCAGCGTATACCAGCTCAAAGGGCTCTGCACACCTTCCGATGCATTTGAGAAGCCAATATGTCGGCCGCCGCTCCCTCTAGTGACCCGGTCCAAAACGCATCTTCAGGTTCGCCGATTGAATCCACCCCTCGGAGGCAAATGATGCGATCGCAGCGCTAACCTGTACGGCCATGCTTCTAGGGAAAAAGAAGAACAACAAGAAGAAGAAGAATGCAAACAAGCCCAAGGAACCGATAGAAACCGACAGCGCTACCCCGCAACGCGACGCTGCCGAGGATGGCGATGATGAGCCGGAGACCCCGGTGCAGGTGATACTCCCTTGTGTCGTTGCCTTTTAGCCTGGTTGATCTGACTGCTGTCGCAGGACGCCGCACCCACGGAAGAGTCCAGCCCCGAACAGACCGCAGACAAGGACACAACGGCCAATGGTCATACCGAGAGGCCGACGAGTAATGGACATGCGAACCCGCCGATAGAGAAGCCGACAGACGACCCGGGAGCTGGGGGAGATGCCACCGCGAAACTAGACGCCCTCACAAAGGAAAGAGAAGCACTACGAACAGAGGTTGAGACACTGAGGAAGCAGCTGGAGACAATTCAAGGAACACACGATGAAACCATCTCAAATCTCAAGACTGAGCTGGAGGAGACGTCATCCGCCAAGGAGCAGGCGGAGGAGCAGTACCAAAGCCTGCTGGAACGTGTCAATCACCTCAAGTCGACACTCGGCGAACGTCTGAAGCGCGATCGAGCCGAACTCGAAGAGGCCAAAGAGCGAATCGAAGAGCTCGAGGCGCAGAACGAAGAGCTGCAGAATGGCTCGAGAGCATCTGAAGATGAGCTTGCTAAGCTCAAGGAGGAGCTGCAGGATACCTCGCGCGAGGCGAACAGCCTGCGCAGCCGCAGCAACTTGTCTCAGCAAAACTGGGTGAAGGAGCGAGAAGAGCTGACACGAGTGGTGGCCAGCCTGAAGGAGGAGGTGGAGACAACGACAAATGCCATGGGCGAATGGGAAGTCATCGCCATGGAGGAACGATCCGTCAAGGAGAGCCTAGTAGAGAAGGTATCGGAACTGGAGGAGCAGATTCACAGCCTTAGAGAGGGCTACGAGAGCGCCGCATCTGAGCGAGATCACCAGTCGCAGGTTATCGACAACTTGCAGAAGGCGTTGCGCGAGATCCAAGAAGCGCGGAAGAAGGAGCTGCGCGAGATGGTTGAGACATCAGAGGAGCAGCTCCAGGCCCTGAAGAAGCTGGTCCAAGATGCGGACGCCAGAGCCACGGAGGCTGAGACCGCCAAGGATAACCTCACCAAGGAGCTTGAGCGGACAGCCCCGTTCGAAAAGGAGGTCAAGGAGAAGAACCTACTCATCGGCAAGCTGCGACACGAGGCCATTGTACTCAATGACCATCTCACAAAGGCCCTCCGCTACCTGAAGAAGACGAAACCTGAAGATAATGTTGATAGGTATGCTGCATTCACCAGCCTTCATCATTACAGCCGACTAATCCTGCCTTAGACAAGTCGTCACGAATCACATGCTCCACTTCCTCACTTTGGACCGCGGAGACCCCAAGCGCTTCCAGATCCTGCAAGTCATGGCCGGCTACCTCAACTGGAACGACGAGCAGCGCGAGCAAGCCGGGCTCGCGCGGCCCGGCACCTCGACAAACAGTCTGCGCTTGCCAGCTTCCCCCTTCCACCGCACGCCGAGCACGCCATCCCTCAGCGCAGAGTTCTTCTCGGATACGCCCACGTCCGCCAACAAGGAGTCGCTCGCCGACCTGTGGGCTGGCTTCCTGGAGCGCAGCGCAGAAGAGGGCCTAGACCAGGCTGGAGCGCCGCGAGACCGCAAAGACAGCGCCAGCAGCGCGGCAACGAGGCCTGACACTCGCGGCGGATAGAGGCCGTCATCGTGGTACGGTCAGTCGTCTCGCAAGTGACGAGAGATGGGCGAGCGGGGCTTCTTTTGGGTATCGAGAAACTCAGCATGTTTCTCATGAAATGCATACCGCCACGCTGTGACGATATCCAGGCAGCCGGCATGTTATACATATGTTATATAAAGAAAAAAAAACTGGCGTTGTTAGCGCTCGTGTGGGAGGGCAGGCATTCAGATAAGCGGGCATGTAGCATTGTCGTTGTCCAGGGGGAAAGGGGAGGAGAGGACTTGGTTCACGAAGACGGGAGGGCAAAGCCAGGGGTTTGTGGTGATGGGAATGGTCCGATCCAACAAGGGAGGAGGCAATGGGAACACTTTGCGCATTACCGGCCCTAGAGGCGTATTAAAAATAACATGTTTCTCTTCTGGACTGCACAAGTATTCATAACGTGTCTGCATTAGTGGAGGGGAAAAGGACACATTTGTCCTGCGTCTAACACTCTCTATGTCTCTAGTCTACGACAAGCCTACTGCGCCTGCTCTTGGCCCTGTTCCAGAGGCGAAAACACGCTGTTGGCATAGTTCTCGGCATCGGCAGTGATGGTCTGGATGTTGATACGGTTTTCGAGAGCATTGTTCACCCCCTCGATGACCTCCCGCTCCTCCATCACCTCCCTGACGAGCCGCACCTCATGCAACCAGTACGCCTGGCTCCTGGTCCTCAGCTCCTCGTCCCTCAGCGTGGTGTTCTTGACGATGCCGAGGGCGTTCATCTTGCTCCGGACGCTGTTCAGCAGGCGGTTGCTCGCCTCGACGCGCTCCGCCTCGGAGGGCGGCTGCAGGAAGGCGCGGCGGGTGCTGGAGAGGAACAGCAGGCCGCCGAGGCCGACGTCGAGCAGCGCGAGGGCGACGTAGCGCAGGGCGCGAGCCTTCCAGTAGAAGAAGTCGATCTCGGGCAGGCGCAGGGCGGAGGCGTTGGCCGAGTAGTCGTACTGGTTCACCAGGCTCAGGTCGGCGATGCAGAGGGCGGCGGCGGCCATGGTCGCGTAGCTGCGCCAGCGCGCGCCGTCGCGCCCCGTGATGGTGCCGGACGTGACCACCGCGATGACGACCAGGTTCAGCAGGTGGAGGAGCACGATGGCGGGCAAGGCGTAGTAGAAGTAGCTCTTGGGCTCGTCGGACTTGCAGAAGGGGCAGTCGGCGAGCGCGGCGGGGCCGAGGTAGAGGTACAGCAGGCGGGACTCGAGGTTGACGAAGCGGGCGCGCAGGCGCTCGTCCGCCTGGGTGAGGAGGCCATCGGGACGAAGTGAGGCGAGGCGGGTGAAGAGGACGTCGACGGGGATCTGGAGGCGGGACTGGGTGAGGGCGAAGACGTTTTCGGGCGCGAAGGGCGGGAGCGTCTTTGCGAGGTAGAAGAGGACGAGGACGGTCAGCACGCCGAGGGCGCGGGCGACGTGAGGGGGTGGGGGAACCGGCTCGGCGCGGTGTTGCGAGGCGGTGCGGATGGAGCGGTAGGCTGAGATTGCCTTTGGAAGGAGGATTGGGCCGAAGACGAGGAGGAGGGAGCGCAGTCTGAAGTCGCAGAGTGTTAGTTGTTGATGGTGGTGATGCACGTTGAAGTGGACAGGGTAGCTTACTCGGCCCAGCCAAAGGCCATGATGGGCGGTTATGACACGGCTGGCGTGCCTTGCCCTCTGCAAACTATACCGAAAATACAGAGACGCAGAATCGCCCAGAGTCTCGCAGCGGTATTGAAGCTCGAGAAGGCTCAGAGAACTGTCTTCTTTGGAAAGTTGGAGGGGTCAAGGCGTAAGGCTGCCCGTGTTCCAAGGACACGGGTAAGATGGGTTTAGTTTCCGCCAAGAAACCATGCATGGCTTACCTAAGTGTGTGATACTCCAGGCGACAGAAGTTAGGAGCTGTGTCCGGGGCAGGGATTAGCTGGCTTTGGCGGCCCCGGGTGACGGCACGATGATGTATCCCCTGCAGGTACGCCGAGAGCTCTGGTCGATTGGGCACAACGACGTTACAAAGCCCGCCATCAGCAATGTCAGCGGTACTACTACAGCAGACGAACCCGGCATGATTCACACCTTTAGGCAAAGGCCAAAGTGGTTGTTGAGCATAAAGATTAGGGATTATGCCACTCGTTCTCTGTATTGTACATCAAGCCAGTCATTCGTCGTAGCTGCTTGCTCGCTATGCTTTTTTCTGTTCATCTGATGTCCTTCACTCGATCTTTTCCGCCTGCAGCTCCGCGGATCCTTCGCCCCCTTCGTAAATGAAGTAGAAAAACAACAAACTTTTTTGTTTTGGTATCCCAACTCCGCCCGATGATAAATATGCCAATGTGAAAAATGCATCGAAAAATAATGGCTAAAGTCTGAAAATGCCCATGAGTCGCTTTTTTGGTTGATTTTTTTGTCGTCGTATGTCGAATGCCGTTCACATGCATTCATAGCTTGCGTCCAAACATGAAGGACCCGTACATGCCCCCGACTTCGGCGCGCGCGACCGGGATCTTGCGCATGCCCCAGTTGTCGGCGCCCATCTTCCACCATCGGTAACCGCGATCGCTATCCTTGCGGTGGTCCTGGAGTCGCACCATCCAGCATCGGCTTCCGATCTCCTGCAGGGACCAGCCGATACGCTCGAGGACTCTGTTCCGGGACAAGCTCTTGAACGATTGCTCCGAGACCTCCACTACCTCTAGCGGCGCCGAGCTCGGGCGAAGCAGCGAGTTCCGAGTCGAGAAGAGGTCGACGAGGTCGAGCTCGCTGCCCCAGAGGTCCGAAAGATCGAGGTAGCGCAGCGTGTGGGGCTCCTCCTCCTTCTCGGGGTCCGCCGGCTCAAGAAGCTTACCGGCGGCATTGACGTCCATGTTGCGCCCGACAGCCAGTTCCTCGAGGTACTTGGTCAGCGGTCGCAGCAGGTCAATGTGGATATCGTCCATGCGACTGCCCTTCAGGCTCAAGGACCTGAGGGTCTTGGGCAGCACCGGGATGAGCTGTGTTACATCCTCCACATCCAAGAGTTGGTGGCTCCGAGCATCGGTGGCCACGCTGAGGTAGACCAGGTTCTTGACCGCCGGGTGGTTGGCAAGGAAGTCGATAACGGCAGGCGCTGTGAGCAGAGTGCACTTGGCAATGTTCAAGTGGGTGATCTTGGCCGTGACCGGAATGGACTGCAGCGCGCGGTCTGAGATCTTGGTCTGGGCAAGGTCCAGGTGCGTGATGTTGGTCAGGCGCGGGAGGATTTTCTCGAAGAGGGTAGAGGGGAGTGTCAAGCACTTGTGGAATGATAGTCGCGTGACAGACAGCATGTCGGGCCAGTCCATGGCCACCAGTGACGTGAATGAGTTCTTGAAAGCCGGCGAGGTGCATCCGGCAAAGTCAAGAGCCTGCAGCCTGGGCATGCCAAAGAAGAGCTTCCGCAACACGTTCGCGTCGAGATCGTCGTCAATGTGCTCCATGGCGAGGAACTCCTGTAGATGAGGCGTCAATTCCAGTGATTGCACCAGTGTCTCGGCCGTCAGGTTTCTAGTGGTCTTGCGTTCGCTAGCAGACTCGAACAGGGTCGCATTGTTGAAGTGGCTGAAGTCCATGCGCCGTACAATTGTGCCCAGCGCAGGGTACATTGTGATGTTGGACAAGAACTTGCGGAAGATTCTCGAGTGTGGGATGGTGATGTGCTTGTAGAGGGTGTTGAGCGTGGCGGCATGGAGTGTCCTGGAGGTTAGGAGAAGCGCCATGAGATCGACGTTGCGGCGCGCGGTGCCATATGGCGGGGGGATATCGAGGACTAGGAGCTCGATGATGGATCCTATGAAGCATTAGTGTTGTCCCTGGTGGTCCAAGAACACCTGTGTCGACTCACCTAAGATCTCGAGAGGAAGCCTCTCCATGGGTGCGCGGCCGCCAACATGCTTGTCCTTGACCTTGGGGGAAGCTGGAGGAGTGCTCCAGGACATGCGCAGTGCCTGGAGGTCGCTAAAGCTCCGGCTGGCTGTCTTGCCCTTGACATCGATCTGCTTCCAGCCCTTGAAGCTGTTGGCAGGATACCAGCCGCCATGGAGTCTGCTGTTGGGGTGGGTGACGGGAGGAAGGAACTGGACTTCACCCATGTCTAGGGACGGGGAGGCCAAAGGGGAAGGAGAGTTGGAAGAAGAGTCAAAGACGACGGCGTCGTTTGCCTTCTGTGCGTAGGAAGAGACCTTTGAGGAGGTGAAAGTCTGCGCCAAGTCGGAGTCGTTCTCGCGGATGGATGAGAAAGAGGACCTGCCGTTCTTTTCTGGGGTATCAGGTCGGTGCGGCTCCGGGTTGTCCATTTTGTATTTGGTCTGGGCCTGGGGAGACGGAGAGCCGTTGTGGTCGTGGCCGAGACCGTGACTGTGGCCTGTCGGAGAAGGGCCTGGGGGGGTGTGGTCCTGGTCCGGAGTCTGGGACGACGAGGTCTGCGAATGGGGTACAGGCAGGAGAGGTAGAGGGAGAGGTAGAGCTGAAGGTCGCGGAGTAGCCATGGCTGCAGGAAGTTTTTTGACCTTGAAGGTCCGTCCGGGTCGCTGCGCTTGTTGTTTCAATTGTTGCACGACACACCACCAGCGAAAAACCACACGAACCACTCCAACGCACGCACGCTCGCTTGCTGGGTTGTCTGTCTCGCGCGTGCCTGTCGCTGTCAAGCTGGGGTCTTGGGGTGTGAAGAAAAAAAATCCAAACCAGCTACCCCGTTTAAAGTAGTCGTGCTGCCCTGCAAGCGCAAAACGCAAGTAACTCGAGGTTACCGACTTTGTTGCAAAAGCACAAGGCCGGGGGCCCGGGACCGTCGATAGAGCAAGCCTCAAGGGCTTTTCTATTAGTCAAAGACCGGGGCTTTTAGGTAAGAGGAAGCTGCCGTGATGCGGGGAAGATGGTGGTTTGGCGTGTTCAGGTGGTCCAACCTCAACGTTCTGAAGTGTAACACTGAAGCCAAGCGACAAGTCTGGAGTACGAATAGAGACGCGGCGCAATCCAAGATTCTTGGGGGGGAACGAGACTGGACCCTTGTTGGTGGAGGGTCCTGGGGATGTGAGGAGGAGCAGCGGCGACAGCAACAACAACAGGAAAGGATCGCAGACTGGGGATGGATGCAGAAGTGAGTGGTGCGTGACACAAGGAAAGACGTCTTTTTCGCAATCGCTGAGGTGATGTGGTGAGAGGTTGGCTGGGCTTCAAGGCGACGGAGCAGGGGCAAGAGATGGAACTCGTCCAACGGATCGATCGCGACTGACTGGGAGTGCAGCTTATGGGCGTCTCGTCATGCGGAGGAGTGGCTGGTACTGGCGTTTGTAACCGGGTGTGAGTGTGTGTGTGTGTGAGCGGCCCGCAGATTAATATAGCAAGTCGAAGAGGCAAAGGGTTGCTCTTGGCCAAAAATTGGGTAATGAAAACAGAGGAATGGAGACTTGCCCGTCACATGAGCATCCAGAGCTTCATCCAGATGGAGGCGGAGCCTTGTCCGTACATGACACGGCGCGGTACGGCGGTACGCCAGGTCCCCAGGTGACATGCTTCGTGCTCACGGACGGCGACGACGACGACGACATCCATCCAGGTCGGATACGGTACAGGGACGAGACATTGACAAGAGGGAGAGATGGATGGCGACAGAACCTCTAGAGGTAAGGGCTGGCGACACGACGCAGCCTGGTCGCCAACGATTGGACGGGTATTTGGTAATGAGAATGTCATGGGTGTGTTGCGTCGAGCCAGTCGGCCATTGAAAGCAATCAGAGCATAACATCATTGCTCGCGTTTCCAGTCCGTTAAACGGCTGCGCGAGATGTGTCAAGGAATGTCCATCTTCCGGGGATCTCAGGTTATGTGGCCAACGTCTGTCTTGTTCCGGACAGGCCGTTGTTTGACTGTGTGTAGTCATAATCATCCCGAGTTATAGGAAGCATACCTCACGTGGACAACAGTTGACGAAGGGTGTGTGTGGTGAAGGCGGTTAGTCACTCTCTGGTCAGTGTTTGTCTGTTCAAGACGACGGGAGCCGTGGCCGTGGGCAGCAGCCAGGCCAGGAACGGGAACGGTAAGGCATGGCAATGGTGCCCGCGCAGCTCGTCGGTCGGTGCAGTTTGCTCTTCGAACCGGACGGGGCGACTAGCGGGGCAAAGGGCCCGGACCCAGACCCAGATCCAAGGGGGAGGGATTGAGAAGTTGAGGGCTCATATGAGGGAAGGGAAGGATTTGTTTCTTGGTAGGACGATCCAATTCCACTTGGGAAGATGGGGAAAGGAAAGAAAGAAAAAAAACCTGCCCCGTCATAAGGAGGGTCAGCAAGACGAGAGAGAAAAATGCGAGAGGGTCGGGGCCATTGGGTGCGCTGAGCTGAGCTGGAGACCTGGAGACGTGGACAGGTTTGCGTTGGAAAGCTTGGCTTGCGAAGTGATCAGATGAGGCGAGGAAAAGGAGGTTTGCAAACGTAATGGTAACAAGCTACGACTAATGGAAACTGGGAAAACTTTTCAGCATGGCGCCGAGACCTCTCAACCGCCGAGTCACGTTGCTCAAAGACAGCGTCCCAAGTTACCTAATACAAGAAAAGGAAGTGTACCTTGCTTTTTGTACCTCATCAGAGTTACATCGAATACAAGAGTCTCACTCTCGCAGCGTTGCACTCACTCAGTCTCTGGCAGTTAATTCCAACCTCTGCTCCAGCTGCATAAGGGAATTGAAACGCTGGCAATATGCGGGACGCTCCCTTACGAAAGCAAGTCTGACGACAGACGATCGGGCGGATGAGATGGATCATGGAATCATTGACTCGGAACCACTCCCGTGGACATTGGCATCTCCTCGGCTCGGCGCCCGGCTTTGCAATTCAATTCAACTCATTGCCCCTCAAACACCGAGCCCGCCATGAGTAACCAACCCCAAAAGGTGCGATGTCGCTGCATACCAACGCCCGAGACGTCCGTTCCGGTCGTCGGACTCCGTCTGCCAATACGGGGCTAGCCAGCCGCCAGCCAAGGCCAAAAGCCTCCAGACTCTGTGACGATGATGGCGAAATGTCGTCTGCAGAGTCGAAAGGTCGGGGAAATTTGCATCAGCGCAGGGCAAGGGGCCGTCGGCCAATGCCCAACTGCCAATTTGCTTGGCTTTACCTTACCGCAGTCACCACGTTGCAGACCGCTACCGCCGGGGCGGAATACGGCTCCCCCGCCAGATATTGCAGTCAAGTCACGCTCAAGCCAGTCACCTCAGTCATCTGACCTTTTTGCCCGCCCCATTTGCCCATTGCCGAACGATGCGGCCCTCGGGCTGTGCGGCGAAGGCTCGTCAGAAAAGGAAAAGGAAGAAGCAAGAGACGAGGCGCACGTAACGCTACGAGCTGAGAGGCCTACTCAGACGGGGCCACACAGGATTTAGAAATTGCTGGAAGGTGTATGAGAGAGATGCCCCATGCCAGGGGTCATCGTCGGCGTCAGCAAAGGTCACCACCACCACCTCTTGTTTTAATGCACTTACCGGACAGACGATACTTGAGGTACCTCTCTCTCGTACTATGCCTGCGGCCCCCGGCTGGACCCATCGTGACAGTCACCTCGCAAACGCAGCCTGGAAGATCGACGACCTTCCACCGGCTCTGAGCGTACAATCTGGTTAAAAAAGATGCGAATGAACGGGAAGATCCTAGCACCCGTGGCATCCCAGCGGATCTCCGGTTGGCGGGCTAGGAGGAACTTTGTGTGTTAGCCGCGTGGTGTGTGGTGTCTGCCCCAGATTATCCACCTTTTGACGCAGAGAGCCCAGGCAGGGAAAGCGAGAAAAAAAAAAATCTGCGTAAAAAATCTGATGGACCGAAGCCAGCCGCCTTGTGCCATCTCCCCGGTACCCTGTCCGGCTAGCGCGCAACACATTTGTACAGTTGCAAAGCTGAAGAATGGGCAATGTTCTGGCCATTCTGCAGTCACTATGAGCTTGGCGGACTTTTCTCGCCTTTCGTCTGGTGTTTTTGGGGTCATGGAGGCAGTTGGTTACCCGTCGGCCTGGTCCTCTCTGCTGAAACCAACATAACATAACTCTGCCCATCGCTCTTCAGCTACCTACCGCAGTACGTTTCTCATCCACCGTGGCTCTTGTTCCCTGTCCCGCAACACTTGAGAGAGAGTTCCGTCAAACCCGTCACGCGGTAGACTAATAAGACCACAGCATCAACAAACGTGTTGCTAATAGTTAGTCATTAGTTGCAAAGTGTGTCACCAAATGTCCCCATCTCCCAACGCCATTGCGCCATGTCCACCACTCATGGTACCTTGCAGCTACTAATAACACTCCTACCACTTTGCGCCCCTCTTGTATCTAAAAGTCACGCGCACACATTTGCCGACCAGCATGTCCGGAGACAAACCAGCAAGCAGCAACCGCAAACGAAGGCAAGGGGCAACACCAAATGGCCAGCTTCTGCCTTTGCCCACGGAATGTCAAGTCATGCTAGCTCCCTCAAACACTTGTGTAGCGCATAACTCGTTCAACATGCCAGTGACCAGATATCAAACAACCCCAGCAACACCAAGCCGAGCCAGTCAACCACTCAGCGTCGCCAAAAGCTTCCCCAGGTTTTCCCCTCAAAAGCCGGCTTTGCACTAACCTGAAGTCGTTTCTCGATCACACACCCTGACGGATGGCAAAGTACCTTACGTAGGCTTCACTCATATCGCCATCACTTGCCTGCCCACCACTCCAGTTGCCTTTTGCCCTGTCTCTATTTCAGGCAAGTCCCCCCCCCCCCCCCCGCAAGCGCAGCGGCGGCTCAACCACACTCACCAGAAAAAAAGGGGCGAGTGACAAGACCCCAGCAACTCACTTTCCCTTTTCAACTCTTACCCCAGAAATTCCTACCCCGGCCCAAAACGACCAGGCCTGCATTGCTCGTCCAGGGGTGTTTTGTACTCCTTGCAGCCTCTGAGGTATTCGTGTACCTCTGAGGAGCCCCTCACCGCGTAAAGAATACCGACACTCATGGATATCCAAACCTCCTCTGCCCACGTCCCTCTTTCACCCCGGATCTGGACCACGTAAACGTTTCCGTGTTTTACTCTCCACCTCGCACCTAGATCACCTGTGCCCGAGTCTCTCTCTTTACCCCTTTTCCCCCTACCTTCACCGCCAATGCATGCATCGTGACCTTTGGACCTGCTCTGCACTCCTCTTTATCCCACAGGCACCTTGGGTCGAACAGAGACCCCCGACGCGGTAATTGCTGCAACTTCCGCGGAATCGCACTGCTGAAACTCGCCGGGCCAAAGCACCGGGGAACGTGGCCGGCATAAAGGACAAACCCGTCCGAACCGTTGAGGCGAGCACCACAGCACTGCAAGATTCCCATTGGGTGGAAACATCTCCTCTTGAGCATTTCCATTGATCTCTAGCTCCGAATTAGATTTCTCTTCTATCCCGGTTCGGGGGGCCCCGATAGACATTGCAGCGGTCAGGAACACGCACACGCTTTCATCCTCCAACTCGTCTTCACACAAAGACCCTTCGCGCCACGGGCCAGATCGCCACCAGGTGAGCCGTCCCAAGATGTGATACGCCCCCTCCTGCTTTGCCGTCCCGGCAGTATGTGCTGTACTCCATTCCTGAGGGCAACTAGCTCATGTACCTTGCTCCTTGTTGATTTACCCCGCGATCCCAATGCTCGTTAGGTAAAAGGTATCTAGAGGTCGGCCAAACACGAACGTGCCGACCGACCTACACGCCAAATCAAACCAACGCCGTGTAGAAATGTGGAACGTTCCACGCTGAAAATACCACTTTGTACTCATCATCATATCCCTACGTGCCGTTGTGCCGTGCAAGCCGCACGGCGAGTCGTATTGAAAAATTCATTCAGTACTGCGGACCCCGCTGCTTGCGAATATTCATGGCGTTGGGAAGCAGGTTGTACTTGTGGGACAACTTCTTGCCTTGCTTCGCCAGCTTCTGGACGCACTCCTCACAGTACCATTTTGCTGCGTCAACTGTTAGCTTTGCACACATATACATTTGGTTGCTTGTTTGCAAACTTACAGCTTCCCTTTGGTGCTACCTTGAGACCAACACAGTTGAGGTGGAACCATTCCCTCTCGCAGTTATCTGCGTCGCAAGCAACCATCTCACCGTAGCTGACGCTAGTGCAGTAGCAGTACGTTGGCTCGTCTTCGGTATAGTCGTAGCTGCGCTTGGCTCTGATCTCCGCATCCTCGGCATCCTCGCTATCTTCAGCCTCATCTGCTGGCTTGGGGGCAGCCTTGGTTGCCGCCGCTGAACTGCTCTTCTTTCGCTTGTTTGTGGTGCTGTCGGTGTTGCGAGCCGACTTGGGCCGTGCCGCCTCCTGGAATGTAGCCATTGCAGGTGTTGACGGCTTACTGGCACGCCCGCTCTTTGTCACTGTTGCAGCGGTGACTGTCTGTGGTACTGGCGGAGGCTCAATCGGGGTCTGTGGCTCCTCCGGCTTGGGCGTTTCCTTCTTCTGCTTCGCTACTGGTATGCTTGGCTTTATGGCCGTCTCGGTTGTCTCAGGCTCCTTCTTCGTGATCTCCGGCACAGGAGGTGCGGATGGCTCTTTAGGTGCAGGCTGCGGTTCGACCGTAGGCTTGGGCGTCGCTGTCACAGGCGCGACCTCGGGCGTCGCTGGCGGCGCTCCGTTCGGCTTAGTCGACGCAGACGAAGGCGGCCGAGATTGCTTCCCGCCCTCTACCGCCGCTTGTGTAGTGCTCTGCTTGGCTCGGGAAACGGTCGGCACTTTAGGCGCCGGGGGCACTGGAGTGACGGTCGGAGCAGGAGAGCCTTGAGGCAGCGGTGGTTCGGGGAAAGTGCTGAGAACTGGAGAGGACGTGACGGACGGGGACATGGCCGCAATGCCGTTCTTGCTGTAGATCACCATACGTCAGCAAACATGTCATCGAATTGGACCGAGGCTTCTTTTCAGCGAAACATACCTCTTCTTTGCCTGGCCGGTACCAGAAGGTAGGGCCTTTCGCTTCTTCGGGCCCTGCCCCTCCGGAGCTGGTGTCTCTCTGGGACTTGTCGTCTTCGCCTTGGAGACGTTGTTTCCAAACACGGTGCTCATCGCGCTGGGTACGTTGTTTCCACTCGGCGTCTTTTCGACCTTGCGTCTCTTGGGCTGCGGCGCCGTCCCGTTTGTTGTTCCATTTGTGGAGATGCCTAGGCCTACATTGGCGGCGGTCTCGGCCGCTTTGCGTGCTTTGCTTCCTCCGTGACCCTTCTTGCCGGCCTCGGGCTTGGGTCGAGCCTCGGCATCGTCGCCATCAGTCTCTTGGTGCTGCGTCTTTTGGTTTTTCTTTGCCTGCACCGCCTGCTTCCGCGCGTCGCTTCTGGCAGCTGCTTCCTCAGCGAGCTGCTGAGCAGCGGCGGAAATAGCGGCAGCGCCCTCGCGCCGTGAGCGCTCAGCATGTGCGGCCTTGCTGACGGCTCTGTTCTCAGGGTATGCCCAGTGTGTATTGCTTCCCCATTTTGCCTCGTCACTGAATTCGCTCTCGACGTGGGGCCAGACGTCGTCAATACGGGCAAGCTGCTTTTGAAGAGCGTCATTCGCGGTCGAAATGACGTGGTTCTTCTCTTCCAGTGAACCCAACATCTCCTGAATCTTGATAGCAGTCTGTCGGAAGAGCTGTCGTCGTGGCAGGTTGCTTGGATCGTATATGGACGTCGCGTAGGAGCCGTCGGTTGAGGGAGCAGGAGGAGGGGCAATGGCTCCGAGAGGGGCTCCGCTGGAGCTGTTCTGGGCGCTCATCGGAGCAGAAGCTGGCGCGACACTGCTAGATGCGTCGTTAACCGGTCGGGGCTGCGGAGCTGGCGCGCTCATTGCAGCGTCGACAAGCTGGAAGAGGGCATCTTCGGGAGCAACGATTTTGGCATCGACTTCCTTGAGCAGAGTAAAGTGACGGACCATCTCTTTGGGAAAGGCGGCAATGGCATCGGAGAAGTATGTAATGGCGGGAAAGATGTCGATGGGCTGGTCAGAAGAGGAACCACCGGTGAGCGAGTCCCGACCGCCGCCAGATCCTCGCAGGCCAGAAGAGACGCGCGGGGGGTTGGTGCGAGTCTGTCGAACAGGCTGGGACCGCCTGCTGGACGGCGTATCCGCCGCGGATGTTTTGGCCGACTTCATCGCGACTTCGGTCGGCAAGGCGCACGGAACGTACAAGGTCGTGGGCGGGAGAACGATGTGGTCGCAGCGACGAGTTCTCGGGACGAAGTGCCGCGCTGGGCAGGGGGAATCTAGAGTGGTCTCGCCGTGCAAAAATCAAAATATAGGTGATTATAACGTGTGAGTATAGCAATCTAGAGCATTCTGGTCGTAATGAAGGCTCGGGAGGTGCTGAACAGCATCGGTGGGTGAGGGGAGTGCGCGAGGAAAATCAAGAACGACGCCTCGGGATGTTCCATCATCCACGTCTTTTTGGGGATCTGCTCTGCCGCGGGCGGAGGATTGGCTAGGTGAGGGACCCCATCCGTCACTTAGCGAGCCATTTCAGCCTGAGGCCCCCGTAGCTCTCTCCTGGCAACTGGACCGCTGACAACTGCCCAAGCCAGACCTGGTTTTCTCCCACCTCCAGCCACCCACTGACCTACCATCTGATTTCGCGCCCAGCAGAAATGCGAAAAGCCACATTGATTGTCGTCATCCCTCGTCTTCTTATCGCGGTGCGCCACACTTTGATAAGGCTCACAAGATGGATGCGTTTTGGCAGCCAACATACGTTCCATTCCAAGCTGGGGAACTATTTCTTTGTCTGGAATTCCAAAGTCCAAATATTTAAACACACCAACCTTGAAATAATCTACTTTATTCTTCAATCGACAAATGAATCTTGTGGATATCAATGCGGTTTACAATCACTGCCATGCTGGTATCAGTCCCGCCGTTCCTCCTGCTGTTGACGCGACCTAGGCCGGAGGAATCCTAGGTCGTTGCTTTCCCTAATCAGGGACCATTATGAGATATAGAACGCCTGCTCACTCCATCGATCAGAAAGCAGCCCACTCGTTACAGATTCGACGTCACGGGCTTAGGCGAGCTTCCGCGCATTTGCGGCGATCTGTCTAGGCCTCTCGTCTCTCTCGATCGTTTTTTGCCTCCATTGCCATTCTAGAAGGACAGGGAGGAAGTGCTGCAGATCGAAATCGGGCCACAGACACTTGAGGAAGAAGATGTGAGTGTCCTGGTGGCACTGCCAGAGCATGAAGTCGCTGAGCCTCTCTACGCCACTAGTCCGAACGAAGATATCCAACGGGGGATTACCAGCAGTGTACATGTGGTTGTTCAACGTTTCGGCTGTGATGGTCTCCGGGTTCTTCAGGCGCATTCCGCCAGAGGAACCGGGACGGTGATTTGGTGGCGACGGCGAGTCTGGAGGCAGGGTCGTTGACGATGATGCGCCATCATCGCCGTCTGACCGGGATGAAGGTGCCGGGGATGTGTCACGAATGGTTGGAAGAGGCTCGCGTCGGTCTAGCTGCTTCGACATGATCTTTTGCGAAATGCGCGCCGCAGGGAACGGCGTGTACTTGGGGCCCGGGGGCATCATATACTCCTCCACCGTGGAGCGCATCGCTGTCGCCATTTCTTCCCTTGAAGTGTACGGGAAGCAGATGTTCAAGACGTTGCTATCGAGGTCAGCTCAAAACTTCTGGCGTCCGAGTTTGCGCATTTCTTACCGCTTATTGTACTTGGTCATATCCACAGCACGATCGACCACGTCGAGAACGTCCTTGCGGATGAGATCCCTCTGACCGAGCACCCGAACCGCCGCACCATATCGATCCAGTAGATCCCCATGCTGTGTCAACTGCTCAAGTTTCACCTTGGCCAGCTGCATCAGCCCATCGACCTCGTATTGCGGGCGGTTGAAGTTTTCGATGCTGAAGGCGTAAACTGTCACGACTCGGACGCCGCACTTGTAGCAAATTTCGAGGACCTGCACTCCGACGGTCAGTCATAATTTTGGTAGGAATGGCTTGAAGTGATGCGCACCCGTGCAAGGGCTTCAAACCCGTGGTGGTGGCCCTCTATCGTCTCCATGCGCTTGCCTCGGGCATACCGCCTGTTGCCGTCCATTTCGAAAGCGACATGTTGAGGAATTGGCCCTTGCTTTAACGCTCCGATGAGCAGCTCGCGCAGTTGATTGATCGCCCACTCCGCGGGCGGGGAGCTCAACAGCCATCGGCTGATGTGGTTCAGAAAGATTTCTGACATGGTTTGCAGACTTGGATTTTGGCGCGACCTCTGGCGGAGGGAAAGCTGGCTAGTTGTGCAGTTGTAGACAGGAATAAACCGACTTGAACGAGTTACAAATTTTGTGAGGAGGAAAAGACAAGTATGTCAACCACAAGTACAGAGAAAAGAAAGCACAAGAACAGGTTGAGCCACTGCGTGATGGCGCGTCAGCTCTGTTGGCAACTTGGACAAGTACCCGCTTGATCTCAGTATTCGGCCACCAGGAGCTTGGAGTCTGGAAGTAGCGGCGGCGGCGGCGTGTGCCCAGAGCTCTGCGCCTCACAGAAATACGTCGCGACAGGGATGCGCAAGGGAAGCAGGAGCATCACAAGTTGGCAGAAAAGCGGTGGGCCAATGAGACTGGACACATGCCCCGTGTTAGCGGGTGATGCGGGTGAGCAAGCCACACCCTTCCCGACCATCAGCCCTCCAGCCTCGCTGTTGCATGCGGTGTCATGGTTTGAACCGGGGGAACGTTGTCCTTGCCGATGAGGCTTGCCTTACCTAACATTACTGTGGCGCTGGAACGCGGACCCGAGGCTGGGTCATTCCCCAAACCCACCCACTGTCAGTCAGCTTGGAGGTCATTGTGCAGGCGCTGCCGCATGCGTCGAGCTTCGAGTGGATTTGACAGTGGTCCAAAAAAACCACCTGGCAACATTGGCCGTACGGCCTCCTCGATTCATCCACGACGTCGTCGGCCACTCAACCCGCGTCGAATCACTCAATCTGAAGAGGCAACACGTATTGGAATATCCTGCCCGAGACTGCGCTGCAAGGGAGTCGAATTGAGAAGAACAGAGCTTCCTGTCGCCAGGGATCGCCCACTACCTGAGCTACCTACCACCTACGTACCTCTCCCTGCCCCTCTGCTCTGCCCTGCCGATCGAGAGTGATCCAGACAACAAGTCGAGCTACGATGCGATAGCACCTCGACAACATGTCCTTCACGAACGCGCCTGTCACGCGCACTCTTGTCCTGGGCTTGGTCTCAGGCTCCATCGCGGCTAGCCTGTTTGACGTCAAGCACTACTTCTACATCATTGTCGACGCCCATCTCTGGCGATACCATCAGCTCTGGCGGCTGCTGACATATCAGCTATGCTGCACCAACTCCAGCGAGGTGCTGTTCGCCTCCATGACTCTCTACCACTTGAGGGTAATTGAGCAGATGTGGGGTTCGAGGAAGTACGCCGTGAGTTACTCCAAATCCCAAGCACGTGAGGTCTCGTGATGCTGACTATCGCCGTCGCAGTCTTTCATTCTCGTGTCGTCACTCTTCACTGCCGTGATTCCGCCAGTATTTCTGTCCCTAGTGCTACGGCCATTGACTGCAGGCTTGTTCAACTACATGCCTGCCGGGCCGACCCCGATCATATTTGCGATCCTCGCGCAATACCACGCCGTGATCCCTCATATTTACCGATATCGCGTTGCGGCATCCGCTGCCCCGCCGAGCAATGACCAGTTCGTCGGGCTCACCTTCTCCGACAAGTCGTACCGCTACGCACTCGCCATCCAGCTCGCGCTCTTCCAATGGCCTGGCTCTCTGCTTGGTGCACTTGTTGGATGGGTTGTCGGATACTCCTGGAGGAACGACTTTCTGCCAGGCGCGATGACCAAGTGGCGTCTTCCCGGCTGGATGGTTGGTGTCAGGAGCCAGAGGAGGCGAAACGAATTCGAGGGACTTCAGCGCAGGCTAGAGAGTGAAGGGTCAACTGCAACCGCTTCGGGAGCTCAAGGCGTTGATACGGATGCGGGGCGTAGGAGACCAGTCGGCCAGGATGGTCGGGAGGACTGAACAAACAAAAGTCAAAAACCAGGCATACTCCAAGAGGAATAAATGTTTCTTGTCGTTACTATCGAACCACTGTTCGTCACGGCTCTGCGGCATCAGCCGTAGTGATACAGCCTACAAAGACAGGCCTGAGGAGCTCACTGATGCGTTGATGTTAGACTCAGCGACTGACAGGACAATTACTTAGTAACAGATCAACTCCAGCCTTGCATTCATATGCACTGTGGTTTGTACTGATTATATGGATTGGCTCTGAGTGGCCTAATTGCTGGAAAGGACTTGAGGATGAAGATGTAGGCAAGGCTCTCAACTACTCATGCGTCGGTCGGGTGTTTTCATCAGCATGCCTGGCTCATCATTAAAGAAAATCCATTGATCTGCTCGATCTATCGATATTATTGAGGGCCCTGGTAAGGCCGAGAACCGTTTTTGGGATGACGGTTAGCACGTCGCCTAAACAGGTTCGGGTGGCTGTCAGAATTGGCATAGCTCGGCGTGATCCCGGCTCAAAGATCCCGGTCGTCAGGAACCCGAAATTACGGTGATTTGAGCCCCAGATTACAGATGTAGACTGATTTTATGCAAGCTGCAACAGCGACGACGGCTCTCAGCCACCGAAGGAAGTATCACCTCAGCTTCCACGAGGATTCAGGATGTTGCGGCCGACGAGGCACAATTTTTCCAGAGATACGCGGATGGATAAGGCGGGAAGGCAATCCCAGAAGAAAACTAAAAATACGGCCCAGTGACCTTTACGCAGTACTGCGTACACGTTCTTGACTTGCTGCTTAGCGTCTGCTCTACGTACCGTGAAGCTAACGGCAACCTGTCTGCCAATAGAAGGGCGGCAGCTGCCCAAGGAAAACGATGAACGAAAGGAACGGGGCAAGGGACGAACCTAAATAAGCTTAGCGCAAGTGCCTCCCCGAGAGTGGGAGCTGCGAAGCATCGCCAGCAAACGGGCGGCCTGCAAGGGGGCGGGGTCCTCTGGCTGCACCTCAGTGTACCTAGGTAGGTACCTTTGGTACGTGTGTACGAATACAGTGAGGTTAGGTAGTGTCAAGTGTCTGCCAGACTGCCACCCGCTGCGACA